GAGCTGGTTCGACGATGGCAATGACGTATTCCTCATGATGACGATCTGGAGCCACAGCAGGAGAGTAGAAAGGTGCGCGGAAGCCGCCGCGGACCAGCATCGATGATCTCGAACCCCGGCGGGATGAGAGGCGTGGGGTCGAGGGTGAAGGTAGCCATAGCTGGGTGCGGCGAAGAAGATGGCAGTGTCGGAGCCGCGTCGGATAATGACGAGGCTAAGCAGGCCGATGGTGGCAATGTAGGTGGTGGTGGTGTGATGGGTGGTGGCTCGGCAGGCAATGGCGGAGGCGATGATGGTGTTGCAGGCGTGATGGGACTTGGCAGAGACCCAGCTTGGCTATCAGCGAGGGAAACCGAGGTGTCAAGCGAGGAAATCTCAGCTGACCGGTCCGGGGAAGTAGGATTGACCATCGGGACCCACTTGTAAGTCGGGGAATGCGCAGCGTTGGAGCATCCTCTTGCATGGTGGCCCAGGCGAAAGCATCTACGGCATCAAATTGGATTGGTGCACGAATTGGTGTAGTGTAGCATCGATAAACAATTCTGACATTTCCAAACCTTGAACACAACATCATCAATAAGATCATTAAATTGAGCAGCCTCCTCGGTAATATCCGAAAGATGGTCATCCATAACAGTCGTAGGAGAAATTCCAACTGTGGCAACGGAAAAATCCAAAAGATCCTGAGACGGTTGGGCCAAAATAGGCTGGGCCGTGACAGATTCGACCAAGGCTGCAGACCCATTGTGGGCAATGGAGCCATGATGGGCTAGGGGCCCAATCTGAGCCATGCATCCATGTTGGGCTGGAGTGTCCGGTGCAACACAATCACGTGTGATGGAACCATGTGGTGCATGCTCAATTCGAATCAACTGGGTGGGTGCAGATCCGGAACTAACGGCGGTGTTCCTGGAAGGGACGTTGATCGTCCCGAAAGAGATGGATGGCGTCACCACCGTCCACTTGAGATCAGTCGCCGGCGGTGAGGGCAAGATCACTTTTTCACGTGGATGCACGACGTAGCCGGCCTCCGAAATCGTATCAACACATGACTGAGAAGCATGGTATCTATAACCCTTGCATGCAGTATATTGCTGGAACATGGCAAAAGAAAGCTTCTTCCTCGAAGATGAACTCGATCTAAAAGAAGATTTAGCGGGGGGTTTATGCATGGCTAGCAACCCCAAAGTGGCATGCTTCTTAGAAGGACTCACTAGGATCCACTCAGCGTCGCACTCTTTTTCCAGATCTTAAATTCACAGATCCAATTAGGGCCACCATTCCCCCAAAGATGAAAATAGCATTTGAATTGTGGACACGCAAACAATCTCAACTGGAGAATGCAGAGGCCAACTTGCTTGCAAGAGACAAAAAATGAGAATACCTTGTCTCGGATGATTTGGACCGAAAATTCAATCGCCGAACCCCCAATCGCTGATTCCAAGGCAGCCGCCACAAAATCATCATTAAGACGGAATATATGTCTGCTGAAAGACACCACCATAATGAAATGGCCCGTGTCATCCGTGGAATGAATAGATCTTCCGCAATGATTGAAAACCTTGTCCGCAAAGATGGGGCCCGCCGAGAAATCCAAGTCCAACGTTGATCCACCAGAAGAACCCATATGAAATGGGTATAGCCATGTAGATCAGGAGCCGCTGGAGCAGATGTGCGGAGGGGAATCACAAATCACTGGCTAGAAGAGTAGATCGCCGGAAAACCTAGGCCGGAGGTGGGAGGAGTGGGTGGGTGGGTGGAGAGCCATTTTGACGAACACTAAAAGGGGGGTTGAAGGTTTAGAGGATGTCCTCCAACACGTCCCCTCCAAGGTGACAGCAACGATGAACGAATCCCTGACAGCACCGTACAAGGAGGAAGAAGTCGAGAAGGCACTTTTCCAGATGTACCCGACCAAGGCCCCGGGGCCGGACGGGTTCCCAGCGCACTTCTTCCAGAGGCATTGCGATATTTGTGGTGTGGCGGTCACACGTGCGGTCCTCAGTATAGTTCGTGGAGAAGAAAGCCCGGAGTGCGTGAATGACACCGTTTTCGTATTAATCCCTAAGGTATCAAAACCAACTCTGTTATCCTAATTTTGACCGATTAGTTTATGCAATGTCTTCTACAAGATAGCTTCAAAGGTTCTAGCTAATCGGTTGAAGGTAATACTCCCCGAAGTTATTTCTGAAGAGCAGTCAGCCTTCGTGCCTGGAAGGCTTATAACTAATAACATAATCTCGGCGTATGAGTGTTTGCACTTTATGAAGAGGAACAAGTCAAAAAATAACAACTATTGTACTCTAAAGCTCGACATGATGAAGGCATATGATCGAGTGGAGTGGAACTATTTGGAAGCTATCATGAGGAAACTGGGTTTTGCAGCATCATGGGTCTCTACGGTCATGAACATGGTGAGAACAGTTTCTTTTTCAGTAATGTTTAATGAGTGCAAATCAGAAGAATTTTCACCTTCCAGTGGTATTCGTCGGGGAGACCCCATCTCTCCATACCTTTTCTTGTTGGTAGCAGAGGGCCTTTCGTGCATGTTAAAATCTCAGAATGGATCATCCAGCTTAGCGACATTAAGGTGGCCCCATCGGCTCCGTCGGTGAACCACCTTTTATTCGCGGATGATAGCCTGCTGTTTTTCAAGGCGAGTGTTGATGGAGCAGAAGAAGTGTCACACCTTTTGGATACTTATTGCAGGGCATCGGGCCAGCGGATTAACAAGGAGAAATCATCTATTTTCTTTAGCAAAGGATGCCCACAGGTAGTGAGAGATGCAGTGAAGGGGTGTCTCCAAGTTCCTAATGAGTCCCTAAGTGATAGATACCTTGGTATGCCCACATATGTGGGACACTAAAAAAAGGGCACCTTCAAACACTTAAGCGAGCGGGTGTGGGATAAGGTGAAAGGATGGATGGGCAAGTGTTTGTCCACAGGTGGAAAGGAGGTACTAATCAAGTCGGTTGCACAAGCTATCCCTGTATATTCCATGTCATGTTTCAAGCTTCCGAGAGGTCTATGTGATCATATAAATTCCATCATACGAAAGTTCTGGTGGGGCTGCAAGGAGGGACAACGGAAACCGGCTTGGGTATGTTGGGAGGTAATGGCGAGGCCAAAGTATTTGGGAGGACTGGATTTCAGAGACCTAGAGCTCTTTAATCCAGCTTTGTTAGCTAGACAGGCGTGGAGAGTGCTGCAAGATCCATCAAGGCTAAGTGCAAGGATTCTTAAGGCTTCATATTTTCCGAACTCGGAGTTCCTCATGGCAGAATTGAGCTCTCGCCCATCACAAATCTGGCATGCTATCTTAGAGGGCCGAGATATTCTTAAGCAAGGTATAATCCGGAGGATCGGTAATGGCCAGACAACGAATATTTGGGATCACAACTGGATTCCCAAGGAGGGATCACTGAGGCCAATTGTTTCTTTGATTCAAGACCCGCCACAGCTTGTTTCAGAGTTACTACTACCGGCAGTGGGGTCATGGAACGAAACCCTAGTTCGAACATGTTTTTTGCCAACGGATGCAGAGGCGATTCTGCGTATCCCTGTGTGCACAAGCAACATAGAGGATTTTTGGGCATGGCACCCGGAGAAGAAGGGTTTATTTACGGTAAGCTCGGCTTACAAGTTTATGATAAAAACGAAAATCACCCGAGAAAATTGGCTCGAGGGCAGGAGCGGGCCATCGAGCAGTGACAGAGATGAGCGTGACTGGTCATCACTTTGGTCTCTCACGGTTCCATCAAAAGTTAGAGTTTTTCTGTGGCGCTTAGCTCGCCACTCTCTCCCAACTACGGATGTTTTGAACAAGAGGAATATGGCAACACGCGATGCTTGTCCATTGTGCGGAGCCCCTGACTCATGGCGTCATGCGTTGGTGTCATGTACGGCGGCCCGCTGTACCTGGGCGCTATCTGACCCGACCATGGTGGCACATATGGCGGCTAACAAGGAGACAAGCGCAAAAAACTGGTTGTTCAAGACGCATGATGACCTTGATCAGAAGTCCTTTACTTTGATGGTTGTGACCCTATGGGCAATATGGTATGCCAGAAGGAAGGCGATTCACGAAGGAGTTTTTCAATCCCCGATGCACACTTCATCGTTTGTAACTTCGTACATTAACGAACTGCAGCAGTTGGAGAAGCCTGTCGAGCGACGAACACAGACAGCGGTATCGCGAGGCGTGGAGAGGAGCTGGTTACCGTCACCAGTGGGCGTCGTGAAGATCAATGTTGACGGTGCTGTTGGGCGCCATAGACGCGGCGGGGCTGTCTCAGCGGTGTGTCGAGATCACACAGGTTTATATTTGGGCTCTTCGGCGTCCGTCTACTGTGGCATAACTGACCCAACAATCCTGGAGACGTTTGCTTGCAGGGAGGCTCTAGCTCTTGCTGAGGATCTTCAGGTGACAAAGATGAGGATTGCATCAGACTGCAAAGGGGTGGTCCAAGACATAAACGACGGAACAGGAGGCCCGCATTCAGCTATAGTACATGAAATAACGCAACGGAGTAATTTCTTTGATTCGGTTCTTTTTGCTTTTGAGCGTAGAAACCACAATTTCAAAGCTCACAATCTCGCCAAGTTCGCATGTAATTTAGGGGTAGGTCGCCATGTTTGGCTGGGAGTCCCCCATGACCAACACCGTGTACCTATGAACATTGCTATTATTTAATAAAGTGGCGGGATTTCTCAAAAAAAAAACCTAGGTGCGTACAGTTTTTTTAGACAAACCTACGTGCAGTTTGTACGTAATTTATGTTACGGGCTGATGTGGAGTAACGTAATTGGGCCAAGATTAGTTGCTGGGGCCCACCCCAGTTGAATTCAGGGGGCAGAAGAGAGTTTATGGCAGGCTTCGTAGGTTGTTCCTAGGTGTATAGTGCGCGTTGTACTCACGTACAGGTTTTATAAGATTTTTTTTGCCCCCGCCCACCCGCCTGCCGCTACTGCTGCTCTGGGCGCTCGCGACGGCGACGGCGATGGAGTCCCTGAGTGTGCTGCTGCTGCACCCCGTGAACGCCTACCTGGAGCAGGAGCTCGACCGCCGCTTCCGCCTCATCCGTCTTTGGGACTCCCCTCCCGACGGCCGCGCCGAGTTCCTCCGCGCCAACGCGTCCGCCATCCGCGCCGTCGTTGCCTACCCCGGCTACAGCGCCCTCGCCGCGCTCATCGACGCGCTGCCGTCGCTCGAGATCGTGGCGTCCTTCTCCGTCGGGATCGACCACGTCGACCTCCCCAAGTGCCGCGAGCGCGGGATCCGCGTCACCAACACCCCCGACGTCCTCACCGACGACGTCGCCGATCTCGCCGTCGGCCTCGCCATCGCCGCGCTACGGAGGATCCCGCAGGCCGACCGCTTCGTGCGCGCCGGCCTATGGAAGGCCAAGGGAGACTACGCACTCACCACGCGAGTTGGTTTCCTAACTCCTATATGCTTGGCTAGCGTTGACTTCCGTTTGTAGTACTCCTACAATAAGCCAGTGCGTAGGAATTAAACTGTTTTTAGCCAGTCCAATAAGCCAGTGCCACTTTTATAAGTCGTTTTAGACATCTGAAATTAAACTGTTTTGCACACTGTCTTAAATCTCTACAGCTGCTTATAAAAGTGAACAGAGAAAGTACCATTTTGCAGTCCAATAAGCCAGTGCCTTCTAAGTGATTTTGATTATATACCATAGCTCATATATGGCGATGTGGTTCGTATTTTCCCTCCTACAATATCAACCTCAGACTACTAGGCTAGGGAATTGCCGGCTCTTTTTTGGATATTGTGCTGTGTGTCACTTGGAATCGTGGTAATACTAAGGCTGATGGATGATCAGAAAAGCATGAAAATCACGATTTTGTTCCCCCTGACCATAGCTTCGTAGTAGCATAAATAGGAAATAAATTGCAACGCGTTTTGTCATGCTTTCCATTTCCTTTATGGCCAGGCCTACAGTTTGTGCATTGAAAGACTTTCTTATGAGCAGAATCCCGTTAGAATTGATGCAGGGACCAGAGGATAGCACTTGTACATTGTGAAAAATGGTCAGGGGCACCTATATGAAGGATAGAATGTACTCCCTCTGTAAACTAATATAAGATCTTGATCTAGTGTTGGGCTATCATTGTGTTTTGGTGCCTGCCATTTTCTCCCTAGGCCTGTTTTTGTGGTTCTTTGTCGATGGTGGTAGGAGTTGCTTTGCGGGGCTCGCTCTGGAGGTGTCGGCTTCCGGGGGCTTCGGTTTAGTCTCTGTAACCAGCCTTCTCTCCCGTTTCTTTCTTTCTTTCTTCTAGTGTTGGGCTATCCTCTTGGG